TTAAAGTGGATTCATCTTTATCTTGCAAATAAATGATAAATCATATGAATTGCCTATAAAATCTTTCATGCATATATACAAAAAACTTTTATAGCGCAATTTATTATAAATTGTTGAATAAAAATATAAAAGTAGAAAAGTCTTTACACGTTTTGAAAATATCAAAAATATAAAAGTAGAAAAGTCTTTACACGTTTTGAAAATATCAATCAAAACATCCAATTTTTACGAATCGTTTATTATTTATCAAGTAATGTGCACAAAAATAAAAATATTTTTTATAACTTGTATATGTGTAAAATAATTTGTATATGTGTGTGTGAAAAGGTTAATTTTACCTAAGTTATATTACATGTAAAATATAATCTTGACAATAATATTTTATTTGAATAAAAAATGTATGAATGTATATCACGAATTGAGTTAAAAAACAATTTTGAGAAAATATTATTTCACGCCAAATATATGGCTTTTTTTAAAAATAACTTTTTATACGCAAATTTATTTGTATTAAAAAAACAACGTAAGAGAATTGTATTATTACGATGTTATCAGAAATTGTGCACATTTCGTGAAAGATTAATTTTCTAGGCTTCCGCGCGTAATCTTTAAATTTGCTATAAATATTCACGAATCCTGCATGACGCACGCTTGTAGAACATTGAGGTGTCGATATTAGAGAGACGCTGTCGATTTGATCCCGGTGTCCTCGTTTCACCAGAGTAACATCCTGACAACTCAGTAACTGGCATACAATTGGCATATAGCTTTACATCTCTCTTATCTTCGTACTCCTTCCTACCTCGGAATGTGTTTGTACGCACCCACGTGTTCCTCCACACCTTCTTTTTTTGACATTTTACACGCATCTTTATGCATCGCAAAGGACAGAAATCCACGAGGAAGTCGCAAACCTTATGAACACAAAGTACAAATATAAATTCAAAAATCGCTACAATGACAAAACTTTCAAATGAATAAAAAATTTAATCGAGGAAAAAATAATTAACTCGGCTATAGACACTACAAAATTTAATTCAAGGTTGACGTGAATCTAAACCGCATATATGTGTGAGATACAATTACCTTCGATCTTCCATTTAATTCTTTGTGCACACAAAGAATTTCTCGGAAATCTTTTTCAAAATCAATAAAGATTTGGATGATTATTGCACGATTCATTAGAAGAGACTCTTTTCAAGGAATTGATAAGAAAGTTTGCATTTGATTTAAGAGCTATCTTGTCTTAACTTTTCATAAATCGCTCCGCGATATTGAAACCGAATTTTCATGCTAATAATGATAAAGAAATGAGGCAGGATACAACGTATAATAAAAAAAAATAGCCCAAGATTAATTTTAATGTATTGACAATACTCCACGCTTTCACCGTGTCTAATAAATCTAAACTTTGATCTAGACTTTGATCTATCGAAGAAAGTATAATTAATGAAATATGGAAACGCCAGGATTTCTCGTAAATGTATGGAACATTTTCTTGATGCGTCAATAGTGTCATAAATTTACTCGACGTATCAATTATATTTCGCATCATTGCAACATAAGGATGAAACTGATAGTTGTACATCCGCTATTGATATCAATCAGATACTCTTATCTCGCTGATACAATTCTGTATGATATAAATGCTATTGTTCAAACATAGCATTATTCGGATTGATATCACTTCCGTGAAAACTTGCGGAACAATAAAAAAAATAGAATAAAAGAAGAAACAATAAAGAAACGTATATCATATTGCTACCTAGGATTACTAACAAAGATTATAGTTATAAGATATAAAAAGTTATACAGCATCGTTTACGTTTCAAGGAAATATCGATCATGCGCAGCGGAAGAAGAAAAAGAAGAGGCAGGAGAG